GGGGTGGTCACCCAGGGTCAAAAAGTTGGTGTCTAGGTCTTTTGTGTTTGTCGGTCACGTCGGGTACGTAGTCAACGGCTTGCCTGAGGAGGGGATTGTCATGTCTAGCGGCTACGTCAAATCGTTTCTCCGCGTTTTGTCTTATTGTCTGTGTAGCGTTTGTGTATTGTAAGTCTCGTAATATGTCAGTGTTTCTTACGTACCAGGGCGCGTCGGTGGCCGTGCGGAGGGCTATGTTTTCCACAGCCTGTAATGACTTTAAGTGGCTTTTTGCCGCGTGACCCCACGCCGTGGAGGCGTAGGTTAGCTGCGGTTGAAGTACCATCTTGATAAGCGTTCGCTTATAGATCTTGGAATAATTTGCCTGTTTTCGTTAAGACGACTTGAACATAACCTATCATAAAAAAAATATCTATGATAACCCATGCTTTGATTTGTTGTATACGTATACGTTTTAAGTTTATATGGTATTTAATAGGGTATATTTGAGTATTTTAGCAGTTTTTCATCTGTTTAGGTATACAAAAAGTAAATTTGTTATTCAGCATGAATAAAGAAAACTTATTATCAGGTTTATTAGTAGAATTATTAATGGAAGGAGAAAAGGGATTGGAAAATGTATCAACATGTTTAGACGAAGATTGTGAATATGTCATAAACATTTTGTCATGTGCCTTAAGTAATAGGCAGTGCATTCCCATGTTTACCGGCATACGTCAAATACATCAACCAATAAAAATAAAATCAGCTGATTGCTCTACTCCCTTTGCCCCAGCACAAATGATAGAGTAACGAGAGCAATGATCTTATAGATCAGAGTGAAATACTCCTGCATAACGAACAACTTAGATTTTGTGCTCGGTTTCAACGAACGATGATAAAATACTCCGAACTACAGCGACTCTATAGGATTTTTTTCGCGAGTGAATATTGGTGAATACGTCTGACTTGTAGTTACTGTTTCTATCTCTTTTAATCTTATTTCTAACCTTGTCTAACCTGAACAGATGGCGAAAATGTATATATTCACTATTCAGTGATATGTAGTATGTACTTTGACGACTTTGACATATGGGTTTTAACTTCTAACCAGTAACCATAATTTGTCATCATTTATTGCTTCCAGTAATCTAGTGTTGTGGGAATTGGTGTTATATCTCACTATATAATATATGTATTTGCTTCAAATAAAACTGAAGGAATATATCAATGCTTTCTTTGGAATATTTTTAAGTGGCAAATTTAAAAAGCGTGAAAAGTATGTAGATTCTGACGTTGCAAGATATGCGAATATTCGACATAATCGTTATCGTAAGAGAATGGAAGGTTAGGTCGGTTTTTTATGTAATTCATACGAAAAAGACTTGAATTACAAATGATTCCACCAATATTATCTCTGGCCTAGGTCACAAAAAAAAAGAGGATAATCCTGAAGCAAAGTGGATTGCAAATATGTCCCATATAAAAAATTAATCTCACCATCAAGTAAAATATTTGCTGTTTCAACGTCTATGTTTACTAAAACATCTGTGCCTCTAAAGTTTAAATTTAAACTGGCCACTTCCACAACCATATCAGAATCCATCATTTTGCTGAACGATTTTTATACTCATTCAAACAAAATGTCAAAATGAAAAAGGTTAAGTTACCAGCTGACAATACTAGTTGAATATACCAACAGAATATTCAGCTGAAGGGTGAAGAGTTCAGTCATTTGATCTAAACTTGTGACGTCACATAGTAGTTTAAATGACTGACTATTCTCGCAAAAACGTAATATTCACTCATACTACACATACTACAACATACGACTTCACTCGCGAAAAAAAGCCTCATATAAGACAGTAGCGATAATAGAGTGTATCATTTTCAATTGGTCCACGTGATTTTAGCTGCCATGTTGCATCCAGTGTCAAATTCATCTGTGATGTGTCATGTGTCAGGAGCGTTCCTGGTGTTATTCAATATTTGTATTGGTTTATTTTAATTTTGGTGATTATTAGTGATACTATATTGGGTATTCTGTGCTAAGGGATAGTTATAATAGGGGTTTACGAAAAATATATCTGACCAACTGATCCGAGCGCTGCTTACTCTGGTCAGAGTGCTCTTTATTTAAATTGACCTAAGCGTAAGCACCTAGTCGAAACCGATCTAATCTAACCTCTATCACTATCTACATGGAATAATTCTACAAATAAATGAGAAAAGTGGTACCTGTATGATGTACCACTACGGTAATAATATTCATCTACATCTACCATATCTAAATTGTTGTTTGACATATTGCCATTTTGTATTTTTTTTTACACAAGGCAACTGAAGAGAACGAAACGAAGTTCACAGTCAACAGTCAACAAAACAATCTTTCTTTGTAACATAACAAACCATTTGTTTTTAATTTTTTTATTATACCTATAAACAACACGCATGCGCAAATTTCAGATCATTCTTTAATCTGACAAATAAGCAAGGGCGACTAGAGCGCTCAGATTTTCTATATCTGAGCATTGAGGTTGCATTTTCGTAATGGGATCGAATCATCAGAGTGAATATTCGTAAGGCATTTTCTAGTTCTGACCACTCCGATACAATTATCGTAAACTTCTAATGTTTGCAGAAGCTTCTATAAGGACAATGACCGTGAATTTCTTTCAGTTTTTTTGGACACCATAACACAAAATATAACACCTACTTATGAGGAAGTTAAGGTTCCTGCTAACATAGAAGAACAAAAATTTAATCTTAGTTTTAATGAATTAAATTCTTTTTATAATGTGTGCGGATATATTGCTCAAAGTATCGTTAAAACATCAAAAACTTGTAGAAACTCTGTACACGCTGTTAGTTCTAAAACGCCGATTTATAAAACATTTTCAAAATTTAGCGTACTTAGGAGATTTAGCGAACATTCACTCTTTTTTGCAATGAAGCGGTATTTTGTTTCTTCTTGCAGATGGAAAGTGTTTTACAACATGTTTTGCGATTGTATCTTGACAGAACATAAATTTAAAAGAGTTTTCTTAAAAGAAATGTCTGGTTTAAATTTAGATCTACCAAATTGTCATCAGATCAAAAATAAAATTGTTAAAAGATTTATTATGTTCCGATTAAAAATAGCTTCCAAAAAATGCCAAAAAGCATGCAAAAAGCTTGCAAGTAAAAGTGTTGCTGGACATTTATTGTAACAAATACTATCACTAGTATTAAG